ATGTTGTCGCTACGTTGTCGATGTCAAGAGTGTCAACATTCTCTCAATGTTGATAGCTAATGTTGCAATGACATTCGTAGAAATGTCGTAGCAACATTCCAAGTGGAAACATTGAAGCAATGTTATATCAATGTTGTAGATCAACTTGTAACATAGAGCAACATAGTCAACATTTCGGAAACGTTTCATCAACATACTGTGTTACTTGGGATTCTCTTCCTTTTTGCACAATTAATAAAATCGAGTAGGTAAATTATCTTAAGACTTGATCACCAGGAAGTGGCATGAGCAATTTTTATGAAGTGGTGGAATATTTATTTATGGAGTATTTGTGGATGTATTCATGGCACAAGATGAAAGGAGATTCCATACATCAAGGTCTGGTATCCTATATTTTAGGTTCTCCTGAGAGAGGAAGAAGGGATCATTTCAGTGAGTTCTCTCAATTCAATACCCTTGTGATACGAAATAGTAAGAAATAATTTGAGAAAGGGGTTATTCGATTCATAATGGAATATTGAATATTTTGATGTAGGGTGATTGTTGGAAAATGCCTTCCTCGCCATCATCCTGAAAATTTTCAATAAGAGAGGTGAAGGAGCTGCATTAGCTGTGAACGAGACTTTATGGTATATGACCTTCCATGGTTGAGATTATCAGAATATTACTATTATACAATTTGAGGAAAAGGGGCAAAGAAGCTTTCGGTAGGTGCGTCGGAGGCCTCAATCAGACAACATTGCTCTCCTTTTGTCGGTATTGAAATGTTTTGGGCAAAAGGGAGTTCTTACGCGACCAATGGCATTTTTATCTTCTTATTCATTTCCCCATTAGATTCTATTTGCATATTTGCATGAAAAGGACCATTTACAGTTTATCAGAACGATGCGGGAGGGAGACGTTGTGCAAGTTGTCATATGACTAGTAAGGAGTATGAGAAATTGGCCGATAAGGAAGCAACACAGCGTGTAAAGCGTCTGTCGTATTCCTGGAATGAAGCAACGCTTCATCGAGATTTGTCTAAAACTGGGGAAACGACTTCAGAGAACAAACAAATGCTGCAATAGATGTATAGACAGTATGCGCTGTCATGTTACCGGGCCTGTGAATGGTGCGGAACGTTTCAAGCTAGTATTATGAGACTTGTACGACACCTGCGTTTGTAGTTGGTGGAAGATCGGCCAAGCCTCTCATCTTCGACATCTTAACGTCGTATGAATCTTGGTCTCATGGGTTTCACACAAGACCTTACATGTACCTTAGAGGCAATGCACTAATATAGGATATAAAGTACTCTCAGGATACACAGAGGGAGTGCATGACCTCAATGGAGTTTCTAATAATGAGGTTTCACCGTGCTAAAATGCTCACTCCGAAATACGTACTAGGGTTGACTCCAAAAGTTTAAAGACACTAGGGCTGTCACGATAGCAGTTTTCAAAACATCGATGCATCGACCTAAACTATCGATAGTGCATCGATGCATTGGGGGGGGGGGGGGGGGGGG